GTAGCTGGGATTGCAAGCATGCACCATTACGCCCAGCTAATTTTGTATTTCTTTTAGTAGAGGCGGTTTCTTATGTTGATCAGGCTGGTCTCGAACTCCCAACCTCAGATGGTTCGCCCGCCTCCCAAAGTGGTGGGATTACAGGTGTGAACCACCGTGCCTGGCCTTCTTTACAGATTTTTAGTTAGCCTGTGGTTTGCTCCAACTGTGATAGTCTTCCATCTCGGACAGGCAGTCAGTTTCAGACAATTACTTTCAAATGTTTTTTGCAAACACCTCATGCAGAAAAGGTTTTTGTTTGGGTCAGTTTTTAGATCAAATAAATCCAACCTTGTCATGGTGTTCTCACACAGACTCCCTATACAGGTGAAATCATGACAGTTCACTGAGAAGGAGGCTTTGATGTTTTAACCCTGTTTTGACTCACTTCTCAGGCTTCTGGTTTTCAAGCTGATTGAGAGCTGTCAGCTTCTAAGCTTGCTGTGTAGCTGGAGATGGGAATAATAGGGTAAATTAATATGCTAGAAAGCTTGATAGTCTCTTGAATAAACATTTCTTACTTGTTTATAAGCCTTTGGTTAATTTCCAAAGTTCTGAAAAAGTTGATTCAGATACTTTTCTAGTTGCTTGTATGAAGGAGAGGAAGTCAGCCCATACCCTATCGTTTTGCCTTGTGAGAGTGTATTTTTTTTTTCTTTTTTTTGAGACAATGTCTTGCTCTGTTGCCTCCGATTAGCTGGGATTACAGGCAAATACCACCAGCCTGGGCTTTATTCTAAAGTGCCCATTTTGTTTTTCTTCCTACTTTAATTTCTGAAATGATGTGTCCTATTGGTGATGTGTCTTATAATTGGTGGAATTACTTTTTTTGTTTTTCCATAAGACATAAAATATTAGTGTGGCTTACACAGTTGAAGGCATTTGAATTCAATGTAGTATAATATAATTACCATCTACTGCTTGGTAGCCTGTTTTTCTGACCCGTGGCATTGGTCTTTTTGGAACAGTTTTTTTTAATTTAATGGTTTGTTTGCTTGCATTTGTTTTCGTGATTGGTAAAACATAGATGTGGTTTTAAAGTCAAAACTCTAAAGCAAGATACATTTGGAGAAATCTTACTTTGAACTCTGATACCTCTACCTTGTTCTCCTTTTCTCCTGTAGTTAGCCACTGTCATTAATTATTTTGCATTATCTTATATTAAAAACAAATACATACTCATTTGTATATTTATCCTTCACTGTAGAAGAAATAATATACAACTTGCTTCTTGATCTTATATCCTAGAGTTCACTCCATACAATTAGAGAGCTTCCTTGTTTCTTTTAATTGCTGCATAATACTCCATTGAATGAGTATTCTGTACTTTAGTCAACCAGTCTCCTACTGGTGAAAATTCACTTTGTTTTCGCTCTTTGTATCACATACAGTGTTGTAGTGAGCAGTGTTTTGCACCCATCATTTTTACCAATGTGTAATTGGACTACTAGAAGTGGATGTGTCAGAATAATAGGTAAATTCGTGTGCGATTGTGTTAGGTATTGCAAAATTTTCCTCCATAGGGATTTTTCTATGTTGTAAAACCAGCAGTGTTACAGCGTCTATTTCCCCACAGCCTTGCTAATACAGTATGTCCCCATTGTTATGGTGAGAATATGGGACAACATGGAGATACGGTATCTCTATGAAGTTTTAATTGTTGTGGAGTATTTGGAATGCAGATACATTTGTAAGTGAAGATTCAGAGGGCCTCTTGTTTCCTTAAATTTGAAATACCTTTAATTATTTTGAGCATTTTTGTGGAAACTAATGTTCTACTTGTTTCTAAAGTAAATAAGTAGACCAATACCTTTAGGAGTGTGAGGCTCCCTTTTCTTTTTTGTGGTCTGCATAGCGTAACAATAGGAATGCATTTCTGAGCTGTGTGTCATTAGGCAATTCTGTCTTTGTGTGAGCATTATATAGTATACTGGTAACAAACCTAGATGGTATAATGTACTGTATACAGTTTGCCTATGTGGTATGGCCTATTCCTCCTAAGCTACCAACCTGCACAGTGATGTTACTATACTGAATATACTGAAGGCAATTATAACACAGTGGTATTTGTATATTTAAACAGAAAAGGTACAGCAAAATATGATATTAGAATTTGTGGGACAACCATTATATATGTGGTCCCGTATACCATTTTGTTGACTGAAATGTCATTATATGGTACGGGACTGTATTTTTCTTCCTGGCTTCAATGGACATAAAACAACTTGTTTATTTCATTTGTTTCTATGTTCAAACTATTGTTATTTTGCTGGCACAAGTAAAAATTTTCATAGATTTTTCTCTGTCGATTTAATGTAATACAGGCTTATTCAGTACTGTTAGCACCCTAGTCTTTTTTTTTTTTTTTCCTCCAAATGTGAAACCACTTTCTTTTCTGAGTGATCACTTTTACTTCTTAATGCCACTAGTAACATTCTGAATTTAGGTGGGAAGATTTAAGACTAAGTTCATGTACAGCTGCTACTGTTTTTTTTTGTTGTTTAAGACAGAGTCTCTCACTGTTGCCCAGGCTTGAGTGCAGTGGTGTGATCTCGGGTCACTGCAACCTCCGCCTCCCAGGTTCAAGCAATTCTCCTGCTTCAGCCTCCCGAGTAGCTGGGATTACAGGCACCTGCCACCACACCTGGCTAATTTTTTGTATTTTTTTTTAGTAAAGAAGGGATTTCACTGTGTTGGCCGGGCTGGTCTCAAACTCCTGACCTTGTGATCCACCCATCTCTGTCTCCCGAAGTGCTGGGATTACAGGCATGAGTCACCGTGCCTTGCCCTTTTTTTTTTAAATTAATTCTTTTAGAGACAGGGTCTTGTTCTTTCTCTAAGACTGGAGTGCATTGATGTGATCATAGCTCACTACAGCCTTGAAATCCTGGGCTCAAGCACTCCTCCCGCCTCAGCCTCCCAAGTGGTTAGGACTACTGTCATGTACCAACACACCTGGCTAATTTTGAAAATTTTTTGTAGAGATGAATTTTTGCTGTGTTCACAGGCTGATTGGTCTTGACGCTCCTTCCTCAAGCGATCCTCCCACTACCGCCTTCCTCCCAAAGTGCTAGGATTATAGGTATAAGCCACCTCCACCTCCCAGCTATCATGTAGAGCTTCTGTTTTTTTTTTGATATGGAGTCTCACACTCTGTTGCCCAGGCTGGAGTACAGTAGTGCAATCTCGGCTCCCGGGTTCAAGCAATTCTCCTGCCTCAGTCTCCTGAGTAGCTGGGATTAGAGGTGACTGCCACTTGCCCGGCTGATTTTTGTATTTTTAGTAGAGATGGAGTTTCACCATGTTGGCCAGGCTGGTCTCGAGCTTCTGACCTCAGGTGATCCGCCTGCCTTAGCCTCCCAAAGTGCTAGGATTATAGGCATGAGCCACCGCTCATGATCCAAGTAGAGCTTCTAAATACAAAGGACCCCATAGTTGTATGAGGCAATACAGACTGAGTATCCCTTCTTGGAAATGCTTGGGATCAGAAGTGTTTTGGGTTTTGGGTTAAAAAAATTTTTTTTAACCATTTGCATTATACTTGCTTAATATACACCTTCAGTTCAAAAATCCAAACTCCAAAATGCTCCAATGAGTATTTCCTTTAAACATTGGCATTCAAAAAGTTTTAGATTTTGTAGTGTTTGGGATTCAGATTTTCGGATTTGGGATGCTCAACCTGTGATAGCAACCTAAGATAGGAAAATTGTTTAACTGTCAAGTAAACATTTACCCTACTTGACATTTGTTTTAGAGGTCAGTCGCTTCTTCATGTGCTTGTTAAAGGTAATGACTATGCATGGTGTTTTTGTCTATAAGTACATATATTATCTTAGACTGTGATATACTAGTATAAAAATTGCATGCCTGTTTGCTTTGATATGTTTGGGTTTGGGCATAATTTTTGACAAAGTGGTTGAAGCTATGGAATGTTTCTTGGAGAATTTTAAAATATTTTGGTTGTACTGTGTACTAGTTCATTTCAGAAGTCCAAATTAGTTTCAAGAGAAAGCCAGCACTCAGAAAATTCTAGTGATGAGTGACAAGTGCAGAGGGATAGGATGTGGCAGAAATTTGGCTACATGTTCCAGCAAGTTTTCTTTCCCCTTTCCCTTTACTTCTCGTCTCTTACCCAGGCTGAAATGCTGTGGTGTGATTATAGCTCATTGCAGCCTCGAACTCCTGCACTCTATCAGTCCTCCCAACTCAGCTTCCCAAGTAGCTGGGAGTACAGGCGCATGCCACGAGACCAGGCTCACTTTTGTTTTGTTTTGTTTTGTTTTGTTTTGTTTTGTTTTGGAGACGGAATCTTGCTCTGTCACCCAGGCTGGAGTGCAGTGGCGTGATCTCGGTTCACTGCAGTCTCTGCCTCCCAGGTTCAAGTGATTCTTCTGCCTCAGCCTCCTGAGTAGCTGGAACTACAGGCGTGCGCCTGGCTAATTTTTGTGTTTTTAGTAGAGATGGGATTTCACCATGTTAGCCAGACTGGTCTTGAACTCCTGACCTTAGGCAAACTGCCCACCTTGGCCTCCCAAAGTGCTGGGATAACAGGCGTGAGCCACTACGCCCTGCCTCAACTTTTTAATACTTATTTAATATTTGTAGACATGGGATCTTGCTATCTTGCCCAAGGTTGGCCTCAAACTCCTGGCTCAAGCAATCCTTCCGCCTCAGTCTTTCAAAGCAATGGGACTACAGGTATGAGCCACTGTGCCCGGCCTCAACAAAGTTTCTTTATTAGAAAATCAAATTGGTACTCAGGAGGCTGAGGCAGAAGAATTGCCTGAACCCTGCGGGGCAGAGGTTGCAGTGAACTGATACCGTGCCACTGCACTCCAGTCTGGGTGACAGAGTGAGACTCCATCTCAAAAAGAAACAAAAAAAATAAAAATCAGATTGGTTTACTTACATGTTCTGGGGAATAGGAACTGATTTTTTTTACTTTTTCCCCTCTATTTTAGGAGTGTTTCTCAGGAGCTATCGGAAACTATCCTCACCATGGTAGCCAATTGCAGTAATGTTATGAATAAGGCCAGACAACCACCACCTGGAGTTATGCCAAAAGGCCGTCCTCCTAGTGCTAGCAGCTTAGATGCCATTTCTCCTGTTCAGGTAAATGAGTGCTACATTCGATACATCTTCATTTGCCATAGATTTGGAATAGAATAAGCTTCTATGTCTTTAATAAATTGTCTGAATTTGTTACATTTTAGATAACTGCATGTCTAGCATCCACTTATTTTAAAGGAGATATGTAAATAGGCATTGTAGTTAAGAATAGATTTTATCATCAAATAGAACGTGACTCTAAGAGGAAATATACAAACAACTTATTTAGGTAAATGAAAAGGGTTTCTTTTTAAAATATGAATTACATAGACTCTTGAGACCTAAGCACTGCCTTTGAACCTGATGTGTCTTGTTTGTAGCTTCACGGGCCAAGCAACAGTGCTAGAGCATAACGACTTGTTATAACTGGGGCTCTTCAGCTCTCAACTGAACTGCTCTTTTAAAAACAAGGTACATTTAAGTTACTCCCTGACATCAACCACCCCCTTCTCTCTGGGAGCAACATATTGCGCTTCTATTTTCAGATGCATTGAATGGCATATTGGGTTTTAAGGAAAGAAAGAGGCTAAAACTTAGTGATTCAGTGGCTACTTCCCTATAAAAGGCATTTGCTTGTCACATTCTATAGCCATGAAGGTATGAAGTAGTGCCACAAACTTAAGAAGCCTGGAAGTGCAGTTATTAGATATTTTAAAAATACATATTTTGGTGAATAACATACCTTGTTTTTGTTTTCAAAATTGGAGCTGATCTTCCCCCACCTCCAAAATTCCCAAATTTTGACTAAATTTATTTTGACTGGGAGATTTGTTTCTAATTTCTAATATTTCTATTTATGTTGAAACTTAAATCTAGCTTGAGAGATTGTTTTAAAGTGACTTATTGGAATTTGTGAGGATTTATTAATATAACTGTCCCATGTCACCACTAAAAGTTTAGGGCAGTTCATCTTAAGTGTTGTTCATTAGATTTTATAGCCCTTTTTATGGCTCTGTTATAGGTTGAGCATCCTTAATCTGTAAATCTAGAATGCTCCAAAATCAAACTTTTGGAGCACTGACATGACACACCACAAGTAGAAAATTCCATACCTAATCTGATGTTATGTGTTGAGTCAGAACATAGTCATAGTTTTGTTTCACGCACAAAATGCTTAAAAAAATATTGTATAAGATTACATTCTGGTTATGTGTATATAGGTGTATGTGAAACAAGTGAATTTCATGCTTTGACATGGGTCCCCTCCCCATGATGGGATTGTTATGATATCTGGTTATGTGTGCACAAATATTCCAAAATCCAAAATTGAAAACTTTTCTGGTCCCAAATATTTTCGATAAGGGATTCTCAACCTGAACTTTGTCAAAGGCAAACTCTTTAAACCTATTCCATATGTGACACAGTAAGAAAAGTGACTGACACGCTTGACTTGATAACTGGGATTTAAGTATCATTGTGATTGAGTGGGTGTAATAGTTTGCTTTTTAAGAGTATCAAGAGCTGTTGTTAAAGACTGCTTTATGTGTGTCTGCCTTTCCTCGAAGTATGTTTAATACATTTTTATAATGTTTTTCTTTAGATTGACCCTCTTGCTGGAATGACATCTCTTAGTATAGGTGGTTCAGCTGCCCCTCACACCCAGAGTATGCAGGGTTTTCCTCCAAATTTGGGTTCTGCATTCAGTACCCCTCAGTCACCAGCAAAAGCATTTCCACCCCTTTCAACCCCCAATCAAACCACTGCATTCAGTGGTATTGGAGGACTTTCATCACAGCTTCCAGGTAAGGGGGAGGCAAATGAGAGCGTGGATTATTCATAAGTTTCATTATGCCTTACTATTTCGTAAGGGGTTTGGAGTCACTATGACAAGGAAAGCTGTTTAAATGAAATTGTGAAAGCTCCTTCAGTATCCGAAGTTAGGAAAAGAAAAACAGATTATATTCCATTCAGTCTAATTGGAGGAAAGAATTAGGATATTTGTAGTTGTAAAGTTAATTGAATTATTTAGTAAGGATTTTGTGTTAACATGATAATATAAGTGGTAACATGTATGTTAATCACTTTCTAAAGGGCTTAGATCAAGAACTAACAGCTTTATGAATTCAGGTTGGTATAATAAAGTTAGAAACTATTGTACATATCAGGTTCAGGCATATGTTCTGCCTGCCTTATTGCATTTCACCAGCCTTGAAGATGATAGGACATCCTAAAAACATTTTAAGGTTTTTTTTTTTTTTTTTTTTTGCGAGGGACGGGGTTTCACTCTTGTTGCCCAGGCTGGAGTGCAGTGGCACTATTTCGGCTCCCTGCAACCTTAGCCTCCCAGGTTTAAGCGATTCTCCTGCCTCACCTCCTGAGTAGCTGGGATTACAGGCACCGGCCACCATGGCTTGCTAGTTTTTTGTATTTTTAGTAGAGACAGGGTTTCACCATGTTGGCCAGGCTCGTCTCAAATTCCTGACCTCAGGTGATCCACCCACCTTGGCCCCCCAAAGTGCTGGGATTACACACGTGAGCCACCGCGCCTGGCCACGTTTTCAGTTTTTTTCCCAGATACCGTGGCATGTAACTTCACATTGAAGTAAAAGCTACATTTTTTTGGTTGTTGTGGTTGTTTGTTACCTACATCTTCTTAGCCCCCTGTACCTGTTATGTTGACACTGTAAGTTCGGGCACTAAAACCTAAGGACTTCAGTGTTATCATTGACTCTGATCTAGTTAACATTGCTGCTCTGTGCTTCCGGCTTTTATGATTAATTCATTTAAATAAACGTTACTGAACTTACTAAGGCCTTCCTAGCAAAGCTCTAATTACTGTAAGATTCCGTTTGTCAGAGTTGAGAGGAATAAAGAAGTTTTGAGACTCATGGTAACTTTAAAAGATGGTATCATGAAATTATCTGATTTGAATAATTGAGAAAAGCTAGCCACCTCCTTATTTTAACTACCTTGGGTATGGGAGTATGTGCTTTGAGAATGTATACTTAATTTTTTGCACATTATCAAGAATATAAATAATTCCAGATGCTGAAGAAATTTGGATTATCTGTTGTTACTGCCTAGTTTGTAGGCTCTGTAAAATTGAATAGATGTAATAAGGGAATTAACAAAGGCTCTGACTTTTAAAGTAAGAGTTATTATGACTATTTTAAAAGTCAGTCTTATTAATACATCTGAGATGTTAATAAAATCAAGAATATGAATAATGATAGGATTTGTGGCTGCCTTCGTTCTCTCTAGTAGGTGGTCTTGGCACAGGCAGCCTGACTGGTATAGGAACTGGTGCTCTTGGACTCCCTGCAGTGAATAACGACCCTTTTGTACAGAGGAAATTGGGCACCTCTGGACTGAATCAGCCTACATTCCAGCAGAGTAAGATGAAACCTTGTAAGTGGTAGTGTTGTCTGTGATTGTGAAGTGTGACTGATAAAAATGTTTAGTTGTATGTCTTATTTGTGTTAGTAGGGCCATATGTTGATGTGCCTTCTAGACCAGTAGGAATAAATTCACAAATTTGAATTATTAAAATAAAAGTTAGAGATATCAATCCACTTTTGCTGTGGATTCCCAGAACAAAGTCATGGTTAGTAAGAGGCTGCATCCTGAGGGTGTTTGTCTTAAAAGTAAGAAATAGATATGATAAAGAGAAATTAATATGTGGTAGATAAATGAATGTAACTCTTGTACTTAACCTAAACATGTGTTGAGTTTTTTTTTAAAGCAAGTCAGGAGTGACAAGGAAAATTTCAGATTTCTGTTTCCAATTTTTGTTTCACTTCCTTAGTGATTTTTTATCCTAACTAAATTCATAGAAGTCATCTTTATAAATCCATAGGTATAATTGACTGAAGTCCTTGTCATTGGGACTGTGTAGTCATGACACGAGATTTGAAAGTATTCCAGCTGACTTGATAACGTTAGTGTGAAAGTCTTGTCTGAATGTTACGTTTTGTAGCATGCTTTGTGTTTACATCAGTCTTTCATGCACATGCATGATAATTATATGTTAAATGTGATTTTTATTATAAAGCGATAAAGATTTGTTAACTTAATGAGGTTGTATTAAGGGTAAGTGCATTTTGAGTTTGAACCAAGTTAACTTTTGTGTTGTAATGAGTCCTGATGAAGATAATACTAATGTAGAATTATGGAAGACACTTTGTTAAGGATCTTTTATGTCTACCCTAGAACACGTTAATACTGAAACTTGACCGCTTAATACCTTTTTCAGTTTTTTTATATTTCCCTTAAAGTTAGAACTGCAGTAGTCTCTGGCTGTCTGTGTTTTATGGGGAAGTGGAAGAAGGGCTTAAATACCCACTGATGCCTTTTTTGTTTCCAATAGCGGACTTGTCTCAGGTGTGGCCAGAGGCAAACCAGCACTTTAGTAAAGAGATAGATGATGAAGCAAACAGCTATTTTCAGCGAATATATAATCATCCACCACATCCAACCATGTCTGTTGATGAGGTGAGTGTCTAGGATGATCCGATTATTTATTGTTTAAGCCAGTCTTAAATAAATGTCCTTTTCAGTGTTTTTAGAAATCCAGTTCAAAGTGCTCTGATATAGCAATGTGTGTTTTGAAACCTTAATATTTGTCTCAAGCTCTTTTGGTAAATATTCTACTTAACAGTCTTTTGTCAAGGGTATTTGAGAAAGGCACTTAGTAATTGTTTCCTTTATGTGTGCACTGTTTTTTTGTCTTGCTTTTCCAGGTATTAGAAATGCTGCAGAGATTTAAAGACTCTACTATAAAGAGGGAACGAGAAGTGTTTAACTGTATGCTAAGGAACTTGTTTGAAGAATATCGTTTTTTTCCCCAGTATCCTGATAAAGAGTTACATATAACAGCCTGCCTGTTTGGTGGCATAATTGAGAAAGGACTGGTCACTTACATGGCACTAGGTCTGGCTCTACGATATGTTCTTGAAGCCTTACGCAAGCCTTTTGGATCCAAAATGTATTATTTCGGGATTGCTGCACTAGATAGATTTAAAAACAGGTAAGTGGATAGGTTTCCTATGAAGTGTCTCTTCCCTGACCCCACAGACAGGGTCTTCACTCTTACCCAGGCTGGAGTGCAGTGGCGCGATCTTGGCTCACTACAGCCTTGACCTCGCGGGCTCAAGTGATTCTCTCACTTCAGCCTCCTGAGTAGCTGGGACCACAGGTGCATACCACTATGCCCAGCCTTTTGTATTTTTTGTACAGACAGAGTTTTACCATGTTACTCAATCTGGTCTTAAACTCCCGCCTCGGTCTCTGAAAGTTCTGGGATTATGGTGTGAGCCACTGTGCCTGGCCTGAAGCTTTTTTTTTTTTTGAGATGGGGTCTTGCTCTGTTGCCCAGGCTGGAGTGCAGTGGTGCGATCTGGGCTCACTGCAACCTCCACCTCCGGAGTTCAAGCGATTCTCCTGCCTCAACCTCCCGAGTAGCTGGGATTAGAGACGCGTGCCACTGCACCCAGCTAATTTTTGTATTTTTAGTAGAGACAGGGTTCCATCATGTTGGCCAGGCTTGAACTCCTGACCTCAGGTGATCCATCTGCCTCGGCCTCCCAGAGTGCTGGGATTATAGGTGTGAGCCACTGGGCCCGGCTAAAGCTTCTCTTTTTAAAAATAAGTGGTAGGAAAACTAAAATGAGAGCAGAGGTTTTTTGGTTGGATATTTATGAGGTATACTTTGTACAGTAGAAGTCTTCCCTTTTAGGTGTATAGTTCTTTGAATTTTGGCAAATTTATGTAGTTCTGTAACTCCCACCACAATCAAGATACAGAATATTTTGGAACTCCTGAACTCAAGTGATTGTCCTGCTGTGGCCTCCCAAAGTGATGAGATTATAGGCATAAATCAGCATGCCCGGCTGATGCAGAATATTTTCATCATCTCCCAAGAGGTTTCCTTGTTCCCCTTTGTAGTTAGTCCCCTTCCCTGACTCGCAATCTCTGATAATCTCTAAAGTTTTTCTAGAATGTCATTTACACGGAGTCATAGAAATATGTAGTTTTTTGAGATTTATGTTACTACATGTTTCAGTAGTCTTTGTGTAGTATTCTATATGAGTTGACTACAAATTATTTTTCCATTCGTATGTAGGTGAAAATTTGAATTGTTTCCAGATAAGTGGCTCATTTTAATCTATTTTTAAGTAGAATATAGCCTTTAAAAATCAAAGGTAGTGTCTTTTCTGATGTAAATCCAGTGAAAATCATCAGTATTTTCTCCTTCTACTTTTGTTTTCTTCCCTTTGACATTTTCTTCAAATAAGTTATTCATAGGTAAGATGGAGAAAATGACCTAGATTAGCATTTGGACAAAAACATTTTGTTAGTGCTGCTTCTGTTCTGACACGAAATGATGGCAGAATGATTTTGTTGGCAGATTGAAGGACTATCCCCAGTATTGTCAGCATTTGGCTTCTATCAGTCACTTTATGCAATTTCCACATCATTTACAGGAGGTAAGTGCCCTCTGTACCTAAAACCTAAATAGCTGTGTAGTATTTGGAGGGTTTAATATTTTGGCTCTTTTTGTAGACTTGATGGTAGTGGCATTAAGATTTCTTAATAATTGGCATGATATAGGTATACATATTAGTTGAGGTTGTTCATTTTGTGGCCTTACAAGAAAACATGAAAAAATAATCATTCTTGGATTATCTTTTCTAAGTAGCAGGCTTACTTCAAAAACTTTTTACTCATTCTTTTAACCTGATAATGGAGTTGAAGAATAAACAGTTCTACTAAGAGAATCTTTATCTTAGGTAAAGTACAGACACCCTGCCTCATTCTAAAAGGGAATTGGAGTGGGAATCTTGTGTGTAAAAATGTGAAATTTTTATGAGTTAATATGAGCCAAAGCTGTTACACATAAGACTTAGATCATGTTTATTAAAAATAAAGGCTTCAGGCCGGGCGCGGTGGCTCAAGCCTGTAATCCCAGCACTTTGGGAGGCCGAGACGGGCGAATCACGAGGTCAGGAGATCGAGACCATCCTGGCTAACACGGTGAAACCCCGTCTCTACTAAAAAATACAAAAAACTACCCGGGCGTGGTGGCGGGCACCTGTAGTCCCAGCTACTCGGGAGGCTGAGGCAGGAGAATGGCCTAAACCCGGGAGGCGGAGCTTGCAATGAGCTGAGATCCGGCCACTGCACTCCAGCCTGGGCGACAGAGCCAGACTCCGTCTCAAAAAAAAAAAAAAAAAATAGAAATAAAGGCTTCTTAACACTTCCTTAGATTCCTTTGAGGTGTGGTTTTTGTTTTGTTTTTGTTTTTGTTTTGAGATGGAATCTTGCTCTGTCGCCCAGGCTGGAGTGAGACAATCTTGGCTCACTGAAACATCTTCCTCCCGGGTTCAAGTGATTCTCCCATCTCAGCTTCCTGAGTAGCTGCGATTACAGGCGCCTGCCATCATGCCCGGCTAATTTTTGTCTTTTTGTAGAGACGAAGTTTCACGCTGTTGACCAGGCTGGTCTTGAACTCCTGACCTCAGGTGATCTGCCCACCTCCGCCCTGCAGAGTGCTGGGATTACAGGTGTAAACCACCACACCCGCCTGAGATGCTTATTTAAAAGGAGTCAGTCCCTGGGAAAATAGACCTAGGGAATATACATTTTAAAAACCATTTTATATGATCGTTATTTTTACCGAAATTTGAGAAGCATTGTTGCAGTGACTGATTTTAGGTTAATTGGTAAGCATTATCTATACCTTTGTCTTGGTTTTGGTCAACATCAGTTTACGTAGAACAGGGAAGTTGGTTAATTGACTTTATTTTTAACATGCAGTAGACAACTTTATAAGATCTTATTTTAAGAAATCCGGATGATCAGAATTTGAACCTACTTGATATTCTGTATTTTAATTTAGTTCAGTGCTCTCTACCTCATCCTTCTAGATTTATTAGGAGGGCAGGGTTATTGTAATGACTTAATCTCTGGGAATGTGGAGTATATTCATTCAAGTGAGTGGACTGAGACAAATTAAGAGACAGGAATATGGAGCTTGAAAGACTTGGAGAAAGAGTGAGTTAGCAGGAGAGCAACCACTCAAAACTAGTCCCTAGCACCCACTGTATGTAGCAAGATAGCCAGAGAGAGAGGAGAGAGAGAGAGCATCACTTTCTGTACTTTGTCAGCATAAAGGGCTATACTTTCTTCTGAGACTCTCTTTCCTACTTTAGAAATGTCCCTCTAAAAATAAAACTGTTGTATACATAATTGGTAGGTTTAGTTCTGCTAGGTAAGGACTGTTGAAATAGCTTCGGGATCCTTATGTCAGCACTCTAAATTGTGTGGGGATGGGCTCTGTAGAGTATTTTTTTGTAATAGCTTTATTGAGATAATAACTCATACTACCACGGTTTTTGTTTTTTAAGACCTTTGGTTTCTCATTGCTGCCTAATTAGAAAAGAGATGAGTTTACTGTATGAATTATTAAGACTTTCAAAATTTGCATTTTTTAAGGAGTTTAAAGGCATTTGTATGCAGTATCTGGGGCTGCTGCTTTAGAAGTTGTTTTGCTGTAGTTCTCTCATAAATACTAAGATTTTATCGCTGAAGGAGTTCATGGAATCTACTTACGTACTAGTGCCAGGGTATGGGGCAAAGAGTATGGAGCTAGATGAACCAAAAAAGCATTCATGCATGTTTTTTACCCTCTCAGAAAAGAGGGACATATAATCCAGACTTAGCAATTAAGGTTAACTCTTTTTCCTCTCCCTACCCTTTTAGTATATTGAGTATGGACAGCAGTCTAGAGATCCTCCTGTGAAAATGCAAGGCTCTATCACAACTCCTGGAAGTATTGCACTGGCTCAGGCCCAGGCTCAGGCCCAGGTTCCAGCAAAAGCTCCTCTTGCTGGTCAAGTTAGCACTATGGTTACCACCTCAACAACCACCACTGTTGCTAAAACGGTTACAGTCACCAGGCCAACTGGAGTCAGCTTTAAGAAAGATGTGCCAGTAAGTAGATCTGTCTTTTTTCTCTTCTAGGATTTATGATTATATCACTAGTGAACATGTATTAGAATTTTATCATAACATGCCTGCCAAAAAAGATATAAAAGACCAACATTTCTTCCTTTGTATCTCCCATCCTTATGTTTCCCAGAGGCAAACATTATTAATAGTTCACTATTCTTGCCCACGTTTCTAATATACAATCATACCGTGTGTATTTTTTAACACTAAGTCTGTATACATTATTGGACTTTTTTCAGAGAAGCACTTCAACTTATTTGCTTTATGTACTTTATTTTTTTTTTAGCCTTCTATTAATACTACAAATATAGATACGTTGCTTGTAGCCACCGATCAAACTGAGAGAATTGTGGAGCCCCCGGAAAATATCCAGGAGAAAATTGCTTTTATTTTCAATAATCTCTCACAGTCAAATATGACACAAAAGGTGAGCATGCTGTCATAGTTTATAAATTCCTTCTCTTTTCCTTAATGGACTAAAGGATATATTGTTGACCCTTTTACATACTCACTTTAAAGGTAGAGGTAATAAACTCAAAGGGAATATGTGTATTTAACCTAGTGGTTTTGGTAAACATTAAATAGTACCAATTTTTAAGGTTTTGTTTTGCAGCTTTTTGAAATAAGCTTAATGTTCTTATGGTGATAGAAAGTTTCATTTGTACTAGTCATTAGTCAAAACTCATTTTCTCCCAGAGACTATTCAGAGTATTTATTACAACCTAATAACTGAGGCTGACTTTGTGAAAAGCATAAAGAATGCCACTTGCCTCCTCAGATTACATGGTAAGACAGTATAGTTGACCCTTGAGCAACATGGGGGTTAGGGTTGCCAATCCTCTATGTAGCCAAATCCTGGTATAACTTTTTATTCCCCCAGAGCTTAACTATTAACAGCCTACTGTTGACCAGAAGCCTTACTGTGATAACACAAATAGTTGATTAACACATATCTTATATGCATATAATACTGTATTCTTAGAATAAAATAAACTGGAAAAAAATATTATGAAGGAAAATTATAAGGAAGAAAAGATATATTTACTATCTGTTAAGTGGAAATGATCATCATACAGGTCTTTATCTTCATGAGGAGGAGAAGAGGAAGTCTTGGTGTCTCCGAGGTAGTGGAGGTATTAATAGAAGAAAATATACATTTAATTTTACTCTGTGTCATTCATATCCTTGTTCAAGGGTCATCTGTACTTGGAAACACCAGAGTTAGCTAAAGATTCCTGTAGATGGAAATTTAGGAAAACATGGTTCTGGAATTTTCCCCATTCTTGGTTACACTGTGGGTCTGTTAATGGCAGCTTGTAGATTAGTAATTCAGGTGGAGATAGGGGACTACATGTTTTATGATTTTAAAGCTGAAAATGACCATAAATGTTTCAGTCCCAATCACCTATGGGTTGAGTTGTGATTGACTATGGAATTGAGCATACTCTTCTTCATAGCATCTATCTGGTGTGAAGGAAAGTCATGCTTTAGTATCTAGTTAGTTTTGCAAGGAGCCATTATAGTTAGTGCTGGAGAGAGTGCTGTATAGTATGGTTCATAGAAACCAAATGTTATTTTATCATAGTGTAATTCTGTGCTTCCCATGTCGTATTGACTGGCTAGGTTGAAGAGCTGAAGGAAACCGTGAAAGAAGAATTTATGCCTTGGGTTTCGCAGTATCTGGTTATGAAGAGAGTCAGTATTGAGCCAAACTTTCATAGCCTGTATTCAAACTTCCTTGACACGCTGAAGAATCCTGAATTTAACAAGATGGTTCTGAATGAGACCTACAGAAACATTAAAGTAAGAGTTGGTTCTTGTATTTTCTTTAATTATTGCTTTGAATTTAGAAATATTTGATTATATAGGTAGGATTTTTGATATTTTTTGATATATATTGTCAATATTATGTACCTCTGGAAATTGCTGTAGATTTTGTTTCTTACATGGAACTAAATTTTATGAAGAACTTAAACTTATAGGCATACCCTGTGCATTTTCTTTGAAAGTAACCACTATTATAAATTGTTTTTGTCATGCCATACATGATTTTAGAACTTTACCATTGTTATGCATAAACAGCATAGTATTGGTTAGCATATTCTGTATGGTGTCACCCTCTGTACATCCTTTTCACTTTTTTTTCCCTTGCTTTTTTTTCTCCCCTGGATATTATTCGTGATAATGCTCTTTGCTATAGTCCTTTTTTTTTTTCTTTTTAATTTTTTTGAGGCATGGTCTCACTCTGTTGTCTAGGCTGGAGTGCAGTGGTGCAATCTCGGCTCACTGCAGCCTCCGCCTCCCGGGTTCAAGCTATTCTCTTACCTCAGCCTCCCGAGTAGCTGGGATTACAGGTGTACCACCACATCCAGTTAATTTTTGTATTTTTAGTAGAGACAGGGTTTCACCATATTGGCCAGGCTGGTCCCGAACTCCTGACCTCAGGTGTTCCACCCTCCTCAGCCTCCCAAAGCGCTGGGATTACAGGCATGAGCCACTGTGTCTGGCCAGTTCTCTTTTTTAAAAAACAGAAAATGTAGTCTTGTGGAAAACCATTGTATGGATTTGTATTGCTGCTGGGCATTTGTGTTGTTAATCACTTCAACTATTATAAACAATACTGTCCTGAATGTTTTCATTTGTATCTTGTGGTATTCAAGTGCCAGATATCTTTATACTCAAATCTGTTTATGGAATAGCTGTTATCTAGGATTCTGTGCAGTTTAAGATCAAACTCTACTGAGCCAAGGCTTATTCAACAAAATTCAAGTATTTTAATTTCTAAACCATCATTTATTTCTTAGGAGGAAAAACTTCTAGAACCAGCATACAAGCATACAGCTATGGTCATTCTTTGCTCAATAACTTGGGTCATTGGTTTAGGAACCAGCACTATATTTAAACCTGTGGATGGAAATATTCCCCATTCTTGGTTACGCTGTAGTGCAAAAGAATTCCTGGCTCTCTGTTGCACAGCTGACTTGTGCCATTCTGCTGTTGCTGTATGGAGTTAAGGAACATGGCTCTATTTCGTTTTTATTATCTGATAGCAAGGGCGGTTGGGATACATAAAAGTTTTCACATACTCCACAGCAAAGTTTCAAGACCTTGGTTTTTAAACAGAAGTTTAAATATAACCCTAAATCAAGAGGTACCACAGAGTAGATGGGTATATACATGTGTGCATACCTGCAGCCAAAACACTCTCCTATGTTAATTCTGTCCCCCTTAGAAAAACAGTAACTGGAGAATCAATTAAATGGTTTGGGTTTTTTAGAAATTTGAAAAGAAGTATATAAACAGTATTATACTCTATCTCAGAAAGTTATCTTAGTTGACTGCAGAGATTTGTTAATACCTGGATATACTGAGGATTGCAATAGGAGGGTAATTTGATTATATTCCTTTGTATACTTGCTTCCTTTAAGGACTTAAGCATGGCTCTCATTCTCATTTAAATTAAGTTAGCACTTCAAAATAGCTTTGTAGTTAGGTCTCTGCTTTAAACCTAGCTAAGGTTTTCAGAGTTGAAAATACTTTTCTAGGGGAGGATAGCTGACACATAAGTTTGTGTTCCTTTTGAATTTTGTACAATGTGTTTGTACCTATTTTGAAAAAATATGTAAAGATTTCTTAAAGGTAAAAATGGCACTGTTGAATCATGAACACAGCAAAATGATATTGATAATGATATACGGAGTAATTCTACTTTGGGGCCTGTTCTTAGAAATGATGACTTGTCTTTAGGATAATGGAATTCTCAAATACTTAGTTGAGTTTTCTTTCATAAGCTCATTCTCATATCTTTCTTAATCTTACACTATTTCAGGTGCTCCTGACCTCAGATAAAGCTGCGGCCAATTTCTCAGATCGTTCTTTGCTGAAGAACTTGGGACATTGGCTAGGAATGATCACATTAGCTAAAAACAAACCCATCTTACACACTGTGAGTTTCAGCTAAATGTGTAAAAATTGAGAATCTTCAGCACATTATGATTACAAGTATTGGCTGTTTGGAGCTATTTGATGATTATTGGGGTTTTATAAGACTTTGGCCCATGTTTTGAGTTGTTAACCCCTTTTTGTAAGACAAGGACTAGATATTATGTTGATTCCTGTTTTGGGGATAAGCTTGGCAAAATACTTTTCTTTGGTTATGTTATACCATTTTGGGGGGATATATTCCCAGCTTTTGAAAGTATTTTTCTTATTCTAGGACTTGGATGTGAAATCATTGCTGCTAGAGGCTTATGTTAAAGGACAACAAGAATTGCTCTACGTAGTGCCCTTTGTTGCCAAAGTCTTAGAATCTAGCATTCGTAGTGTGGTGAGTAGATTTTAATATTTTATTTATGGCTAATTCCTAAGCATTGCTTTGTTTTAGCATGAGATCAAGAGATTATATTCTTAGTTCTTGTGAGGTAAAGCTAGTTAAGTCTGTTTTCCTTTATGGCACTTGGATTTCCAATCTGAGAGGCTGGGTAAAAGAGGAAAGATTGTTATGGTTGGCTTTGGTTTTTGGTGTTTTGCTTTGTTTTGTTTTGTTTTGTTTTGTTTTGTTTTTGAAATGTGATATAGATGAGAAGGCTGGGGGTTTTGTTATGGCTACACAGGTATAAGTGTTTATTTTTGTTTTTTTTTTTTTTAATCCTTGTTTTTTGTTTTTTATTTGTTTTACTCCCCCCCACCCACTTATGTTGTGTTGAATTGTTTTAAATAATCCAAATTAAAGGGCACCTTTCAGGCCAGCTTAACATAATAGCTTTTCTTTAGGTTTTTAGGCCACCAAACCCTTGGACAATGGCAATTATGAATGTATTAGCTGAGCTACATCAGGAGCATGACTTAAAGGTAATTTACTGCTTCCTTGTCCTCTGGAACATTCTTTGCCTTCACATTATTAAAATTTGCAGTGAAGGCAGGGTATTTTGGGGGAAGTACTATAGTAACTGAAAGTAGCGTATATTATGAATAAAACTAAAATTTTCTTTTAAAAATTCTAATCCAACTCTGGAACTATGCAGTTAAACTTGAAGTTTGAAATTGAGGTTCTCTGCAAGAACCTTGCATTAGACATCAATGAGCTAAAACCTGGAAACCTCCTAAAGGATAAAGATCGCCTGAAGAATTTAGATGAGCAACTCTCTGCTCCAAAGAAAGATGTCAAGCAGCCAGAAGAACTCCCTCCCATCACAACCACAAGTAAGTGTGCTAAGTAGTCAAGGAAGGCTTCTGTTAGCCAGGATATTCTCTTAAATGGTACATTTCCACGTCTATAGCAAACTATAATTTCCCACATAATGTAGTGGTGAAACTTTGTATGCATTTTGATGAGCCTTCTAATTATCAAGCAAAAGTAATGACTACGCCTTGTGTTACCATCTTAGATTCTATCCTGGCAGTTCATGCATATTATTAACTAAATGTGATTTAATCAGTTGCCTCTCATATCCTAGCTAGGCCGGTTATCTCTGTTGTGTGAAGTTCCGGAAATAACTGCATATATGATGGCCTGTTAACCCCTCAAATCTGGGTATGGCTAGACCTGCTCAATCTGCCAAGGGAATTGGACTGTTTTATCTACATGAAGAAGATGAGAGAAGGGTGCAGGAGTGTTGGATGATTGGGAGTTGTGGTTAGAATAAATTGAGCTTTTCTTTCTCAGTCCTCAGCAGCTGAGAATCCCCAGATAAACCAAGAAACAGGCTAGGTTGAAAACAGACATCTTAATATAGACTGAGTTTGTAGGACTTGGGCCTGAGAATGTGGCATGGCTGCTCAGTTGATTTCTGTGCTGTGGGGCACTGCCACTGACATACTTTTAACGTGCTTGGTGTATATCTCTGTTATAACAGAATTTCCCTTTCAGGGTGGGAAAAATAAGACCTGCTACATCCTTCCCTCCTCCCCCAATTAGTTTAATTAGATAATGACCACTTAATATTAAGCTAATTTTATAGTAAAGTCAACAAATGTACTTTTTAAATCTCTTTTTATTACTTTACATTTAGCAACTTCTACTACACCAGCTACCAACACCACTTGTACAGCCACGGTTCCACCACAGCCACAGTACAGCTACCATGACATCAATGTCTATTCCCTTGCGGGCCTGGCACCACACATTACTCTAAATCCAACAGTAAGTAAACACTGCTTCATTCTCCCAGCTTCTAGTTTGTGATAAAGTAAACTTTGTTTGGTCACCTTTTCTTCAGCTCTTTGCCCTTCCCTCTGGATTCCTAGGTTGTAGAGTTTGTCAGAGAGGATGGAGATCTAGAACTGCTGTGTAGTTCAGTTGGGATTTTTCTTCTTCCCTTAAGAAATAGAGTGACTAGATGTTGGTTATATTGGTTCCTCATATCCAAACCCATGATACTAAAATTTAGCTGGCAATAAAATCACAATCTCCAGGAATTCCTTACACAGAGTAAAAGATGCTTAATGTATACCATAACTTTTTATTTTCTTTATCTTGTCACTTTAGCCTTCTGCAGTAAGCCATTTCTTCCAGCTGAAGGCTGGAAATGAGCTGATCGTGCATGTGTATAAAATTTCTATGCTAAGATCTCGAAGTAGGACTTAGTACTTTGAGTTATGTTGTTGTGGCCTGGGTTCCAGAAGGAGGTCTGATATAATATGGTCATGTAAGATGACCGCTCATCAATCCTTTTTCCTATACTTAGTATTTGCTTTGTACATTCAAGGGGAAATTGTATTATTATCTTTAGTCTTTTATTCTACTTAACAGAACATATAATCCAGAATCAGGTGAGTGGAGTTTTCGTTGTCCTTACTTTTTAGAAACTGAAAATGTTCACAAATACAGGAGTAACATTAATACATTGAGCTTTTAATAAAAGGAATTGAAAGGGTATCAGAGAAATCATTTTAACCTTTTGTCCACCCCCCCTGCCAATAGACATGCTACTTAGTTTTAGAGGGTCGGAGTGAGAGGCAGTGAGACACCTAGATCCAAAATTATGATTCATCTTTAGAATACTCTCAGTGTTCTGAACACTGTTATATGCTAGTTTATTTTATTGTTTTAATTCAACAAGTTAAAGGGACCAAGTAAGTTTTGGGGCATAATTTATGCCTAAAAGATTAGAAACAGCCTTTCAAGTGAAGCCAAACATTTCAGTGGATACTGTAAAATGCTCACTATTCTGATGAATTAATTTTAATATTAATAGTTTTTGTGGGAAGTCTTTTTTTCTGTAAATTTGATTCTTTTTACATTTTTCAAGCTAATAGAGAAGTTGCTTTCTTTTAAGAGCACTTGAGCCACAAATTTTAAATAAGCCAGCAGTGTGTCTTTAAGTAGTTAATGCATTATTATAATGAACAGCTTGTCCATTAAACTTGGATTTTAAAAAAAGACATATATATATTATTCCGTATCATAGGGTATACTGAATACTTTTCCCTGTGTGGAGCCCAGTTTCTGTTACCCAAATTTTCCATTGGTTAACTTTTAAGTAGAAACTGGTAGTTTTTGGTTAACCTTGATTTACAAAATCATGAGTGTGATTGCCAGTAGGAATTGGATTGTCTTATTTAAACAAGGTGTTGACTTTGTCCTCCCCAACCCCCCAGATTCCCTTGTTTCAGGCCCATCCGCAGTTGAAGCAGTGTGTGCGTCAGGCAATTGAACGGGCTGTCCAGGAGCTGGTCCATCCTGTGGTTGATCGATCAATTAAGATTGCCATGACTACTTGTGAGCAAATAGTCAGGAAGGATTTTGCTCTGGATTCGGAGGAATCTCGAATGCGAATAGCAGCTCATCACATGATGCGTAACTTGACAGCTGGAATGGCAATGATTACATGCAGGGAACCTTTGCTCATGAGCATATCTACCAACCTAAAAAACAGTTTTGCCTCAGCCCTTCGTGTAAGTTGGCTATTTCGTTGATATAGGTACAAAACATATTACTACTTGTCTGTAATAAGTTTTTTCTTTGCCTGTATATGGCACTGGGCATTACCACTTATTGTTAATAATCACTATATTTGTTTGATATCTTCCATCATTTTAGATTGTAATTCTGTGAGGCAAAGCATCATGGCTGTGCTTTTTTCTTTTTCTTTTTTTGCTGTTGTATCCTCAACACAATGTTTGACAGATAGTAGATACCCATATATTTATTGGTTTAAATAAATTAAGATTTAAAAAGGAAATGTGAAATCTAACAATCCTCATTTCTGTTAATCAGGAAGGATGAAAGCTGTTTGAGAAGGCTGATACAAAATGACTTAAAGTGATGTTGCATGTGCACACACTTTTCAGATAATTCACTTACTAGTTTTGAGTCTCAGATATCATGGTTATTCAGGTATCATGATTAGTAATTTGTTTACTGCTTTACTGATTTTTTTTGGGTTTTGCCTTTTTTTTTTTTAATGTTTGTTTCATGAGACAGTCTCACTCTGTAGCTTAGGCTAGCTAGAGTGCAGTGGTGCAGTCTTGGCTCACTGCATCCTCCACCTCTGAGGTTCAACTGATTCTCATGCTTCAGCCTCCCAAGTAACTGGGATTACAGACATGTGCTACCACGCCCAGCTAATTTATGTATTTTTTTAGTAGAGAAGTGCTTTCACCATGTTGGCTAGGCTGGTCTCGAACTCCTGGCCTCAAGTGGTCTACCTGCCTCGGCCTCCCAAAGTACTGGGATTACAGGTGTGAGCCACCACGTCTGGCCTGCTTTACTGATTTTAAGACATGTTCACCATAAACTGATAAGGTGTCTAGGATATTTTTGTCTTAAAAGTGAGAAAGCTGTTAAGACTATTTCAAGATCACAGCTGATTGATTCATAAGTAGAGTCAGAACTTAAAATGCATTTGCCAAATGCACTGCATTTTCTACTATCCTGTCTGTCCACATCAACTTTCAAGTCTTTTTTTTCTATTCCCCCCACTCCCCCACCTCCATTAATAGACTGCTTCCCCACAACAAAGGGAAATGATGGATCAGGCAGCTGCTCAGTTAGCTCAGGACAATTGTGAGTTGGCTTGCTGTTTTATTCAGAAGACTGCAGTAGAAAAAGCAGGCCCTGAGATGGACAAGAGATTAGCAACTGTAAGTGTTTAGAATTTGCCTTTTAAGATTTTATTTCTTAATTTAGGGAAGTGCCTTATAACAAGAACCTCAGTGACTTTTTTTGTTTGCAGGAATTTGAGCTGAGAAAACATGCTAGGCAAGAAGGACGCAGATACTGTGATCCTGTTGTTTTAACATATCAAGCCGAACGGATGCCAGAGCAAATCAGGCTGAAAGTGAGAATTGGGGCTGTGTCTCTCCCCATCCTGTCTTTGTTTTATTTTTAATGTTCTTGTTGATTGAACTCCTTACTGGGACTAGGACAGCAGGGTTAAATGTTGTTTATGAGAAAACATCTTAACTTGGCTGCCTGTGGAGCAGGTATGGAAATAGCTCTAAATTCCCTTGCTCCTCCAAAGTTGTTGAAATGCTACTACTGTAAGGAGTTCATGTGCCTTAACTAGTTTTCATGTTTCCCACCTTGGGCTTCTCACATTAATGGTTGCTTATTGTTCCCAATGAGACAGTAATAAATCTGATAATACTTACCAACTCCAAGGGAGAATTGCACTGGCATCGTCCCATGTGAGGCACTTTCCAAGAGAAACTCTCAGTTAATTTATAAATGAGGTGACTCTTAGCAGGATTCAGGGAAATGAGAAGCCCTCTTGTGAACTGCATTTGTTAGTGTGCATGTATGCTTAATCATACTGTTATATGTTGTAATGACTCTTGTGTCCCTGAGCTTACTCACATGCAGACTTTCCACTTTCAAAACAGTTTATTTTGATTATTGAGTGAATTCTGTCAAAATAGATTTTCTTCTTTCAAGGTTGGTGGTGTGGATCCAAAGCAGTTGGCTGTTTACGAAGAGTTTGCACGCAATGTTCCTGGCTTCTTGCCTACAAATGACTTAAGTCAGCCCACAGGATTTTTAGCCCAGCCCATGAAGGTAAATGTGTTTTAGATTAAATTGAGTGTTTTGCCAATTAATTTAAATGTTTTTGACATTTAATATATGTTTTTGACTTGCTTCCTGGGAGAATAATTTACAGGGGAACCTATAGTTTTTGAGTTGTAGGTATTCTTTGTGTCCAATTAAGTATGACATACAGGGGATTAAAGAAAAAATTGACGTGGGTGTGGGTGATTTATCTTTAATGTTTGGCCTAATTACAGGAATTTGCATGGTAACATAATAACTTTTGGGTTTTTATTTTTAAATTTTATTACTTATTTTTTTGAGACAGGGTCTTTCTCTGTCACCCAGGCTGGAGTGCAGTGGCGCGATCTCAGCTCATTGCAACCTCCACCTCCCAGGCTCAAGCGATCCTCCCACCTCAGCCTCTTGAGGAGCTAGGACTACAGGCGTGCACCACCTTGCTCAGCTAATTTTTGTATTTTTTATAAAGATGGGGTTTTGCCATGTTACACAGGCTAGACTCAAATTCCTGACCTCAAGTGATTGCCCATCTCAGCCACGTAAAGTGCTAAGATTACAGGCCTGAGCCATTATGCCCAGACTTCCCATTTTTTAAATAAAAGAATTTTCCAAAATTTTCAAAGGTGTTTACAGGAAACTTGCAAATATAGGGAAAAACATTTTCTCGCTGAACCAGTTGAGAGTAAGTTGCTGACCTGATAGCCCTATCAGTCCTGAATCCTTTGGTTTGTATTTCTTATAAAACCTTTTTCCTGTGTGACCACGGCACAACCATTAAGGTCAGAAATGAATACTAATACCTTACTCTATGTAATTAATAGACCTCATTCAAGTTTCACCAAGTATCCCAATAATGTATAGTAAAAGACCTGTTTTAGAATCACACATTTCTTCAGTTGTCATATTTTTAAAGTCTCCCTCAGTTCTAGCTGGTATAGGTAACTCAGTTTTTCCTCATCTTTCATGACCATAACACTTCTGAAGATTATAGGCTAATTATTTTCTAAATGGCTTGATTTATTTGTCCAGTGTATTCTCATGGCTAGATTCAGATAATGCATTTTAAAAAATAGGAATAGCTCAGAAGTAATGCTGTATTCTTATTCTGTCCTATCAGGCTTTGACAGCTGGACTGAGTACTATACTTTTCATGGTTTGAAACACTTTATTAGGATGTAGAGGGCTTAGTAGATGGTGCAAGTGGTGCTGCCATCAGTCTGTCCCATTATTACTAATGCTCTCTTTTATCACTTGATTATGCTGCTGTCTGCCAGGTTTTCCTCTCTCAAATGAAACACCTCTTCCTTTGTGCCACCTTGTACCGCCCCACTTGGTAGTATTAATTCTGAATAGCTCAGGAAGAAGGAAAAGAAGAGGCCCTCCATGTTTGAATGTAAAAATAAGAAAAAGGGAGTAAACATACTAATAGACCTCTATTTGATACATGTGTCAATAAAAAACCTTAACATTCTTTTGTCTCTTGTTGGTTGTTTCCTTCTCTAAAACAGCAAGCTTGGGCAACAGATGATGTAGCTCAGATTTATGATAAGTGTATTACAGAACTGGAACAGCATCTACATGCCATCCCACCAACTTTGGCCATGAACCCTCAAGCTCAGGCTCTTCGAAGTCTCTTGGAGGTTGTAGTTTTATCTCGAAACTCTCGGGATGCCATAGCTGCTCTTGGATTGCTCCAAAAGGTTGGTTCTTAAGCTATTACTTTTAGAAAATGCTAGGTGTGTAAACATTTATTGACCTGCGCCACCGTCTACATATTTATACAGTTAAGCTTAAGATTTCATAATATAAATCAAGTTCTATAAGTAGGTGATTTTTTTTTTTCCCAATGTAGAATGTAGTCATAGAAGTTTTGAATGGTAAATTGGAAATCTTTATTTTTTTCTTAAAGATATTCCTGAGATATGATTTGAAGAAACTTTAAAAGCCCTTCGGGGGTGTGTGTGTCTGTGTCTGTGTCTGTGTCTGTGTCTGTGTGTGTGTCTGTGTGTGTCTGTGTGTGTGTGTGTGTGTGTCAGGGTCTCTCTCTGTCACCCAGGCTTGAGTGCAGTGACGTGATCATGGACTCAAGTGAGCCTCCCACTTTACCCTCTCGAGTAGCTGGGATTACAGGTGCGCACTGCCAAGCCAAGTTAATTTTTAATTTTTTTTGTAGAGACAGGTCTTGCTTTGTTGCCCAGGTTGTTCTCAATCTCCTGGGCTCAAGTGGCCTTCCCTCCTGAGCCTCCCAAAGCATTGGCATTATAGGCATGAGCCACTGAGCCCAGCTGCCCTTTAGATTTTGAGGGACAAGTTGATCCAAGAATTTGGATCAGGGTAAGTAGGGAGCCCTGGGTTTTAACTACAGCAGAGCCTTTTATGACAATGAAGAGCACAGAATGAACTTAAACCAGATTAGAATTTTTAGTGTGTGTGATAGGCAGCTGAAGGGGATGTTTGGAGAGTGGAAAGGACAGGGAGGCTTTGGAAGGTATTTGGTACTTGGCATTGAGATTTGGTTTCTGGCTATGATAGTTGGGCCAAGCACCATATTTTCCATGGGTCTGAACACTTTCTTTCTCCCATAGGCTGTAGAGGGCTTACTAGATGCCACAAGTGGTGCTGATGCTGACCTGCTGCTGCGCTACAGGGAATGCCACCTCTTGGTACTAAAAGCTCTGCAGGATGGCCGGGCATATGGGTCTCCATGGTGCAACAAACAGATCACAAGGTCAGTAGCCATCTTCGAAAAGTAGTGAGTATTGGATCGCGACTGCCTTTTGACATAGATAGTACTGTTTATGTCCAGGGGTTTCCCTTTTTTCTAGTAGGTAGGTGGGACACTTGGACTTCCTACTTCTGAGAGGTGAGAATTGTTAAGTAGTTGTTTTCCATCTGGTCTCTACCTTCTCCCCATGTTGGATATAGAAAACTAGTACCTTATTTTGGGCAATAAATTGTAGGTCATTGTTTTAAAAGGTTTCAGTGATTTCTCAGAAGTGGTATTCATGTATAAGTATTTTAATGTCTTAAATGGAATCCTCTGTATCCTAGGTTTTGAAAGCAAAGCCTGGGCTATCTATTCTATTTCATTACTGGCTGTTTTTCAATTTGGACACTGATTTACAGTTGAATCTCAAGGCATTCTTAATTTGGAGCACATTTCCATTGAGTACAATGGGCACTTTATACAGTATGGTTAAGCCTATATGAGTAAAGATACTGAATTTTTTCTAGGTGCCTAATTGAATGTCGGGATGAATATAAATATAATGTGGAGGCTGTGGAGCTGCTAATTCGCAATCATTTGGTTAATATGCAGCAGTATGATCTTCATCTAGCGCAGGTATGGAAGGAATTTACTTGCAAGGACAAAAGGACTCAGGGAAGTATGTTTGCTCTTAAGTGTTTTCCCTCTTACGTTGTGTTTTCTGTGTTGCCAGTCAATGGAGAATGGCTTAAACTACATGGCTGTGGCATTCGCTATGCAATTGGTAAAAATCCTGCTGGTGGATGAAAGGAGTGTTGCTCATGTTACTGAGGCAGATCTGTTCCACACCATTGAAACCCTCATGAGGATTAACGCTCATTCCAGAGGCAATGCTCCAGAAGGGTGAGGATTAAACACTTTGAGATCCCTGTGCATTTAGTAGTCTCCTAATATCTTTAGGGATGAATGTGCAGACTTACTAACATTACTTGTTAAAACTGTTTTACCAACCACATATGGGTGGGTAGCTTTGGTAAGGGCTAATATTGTCACTTGAAGTATGAACGCTTAATTGACTGCCAAGTCTTCTTGGCACAGAGCAGTACATACGGTACCAGACTTAGTGTCAGAGTCCTGTGTTTAAGCCCTGGTCATGCCACTTGAAAGATTTCTGATTTTAGGCAAATTGACTCACCCTCCTTAAAACTATTCTTTATAGAAAATGGGAATAATTTCTCAAAGAACTATTGGAAATCAAGAGAAGTAATGTAAAGAAAGTGTGGTACATACTAGGCAAGCAGTGAATATTTGTTGACTCTGAACATCAGCTTCATTTAAATGAACACGTTTTTTGGGCAAGAAGTAGCTTAACTGAGGGCAGTCGTTTGCATGTTATGTGCTCATGAGCAAGCGGATAAGAGACTAAGGATAGTTTTGTTTCAGGGTGGAAGTGGTAAAGCAAAGTGGTAAACCACCACTCTTGTGGTTGCTGTTAAATAAGTAAACTATACATCTGTATGTCTGTAAAATCACAGCTATGGGTAGACTGATTTTCACCCTGGATTTATTGTACTAGATTGCCCCAGCTGATGGAAGTAGTGCGATCCAACTATGAAGCAATGATTGATCGTGCTCACGGAGGCCCAAACTTTATGATGCATTCTGGGATCTCTCAAGCCTCAGAGTATGATGACCCTCCAGGCCTGAGGGAGAAGGCAGAGTATCTTCTGAGGGAGTGGGTGAATCTCTACCATTCAGCAGCAGCTGGCCGCGACAGTACCAAAGCTTTCTCTGCGTTTGTTGGACAGGTAGAGCTTTTGGAAAGAAAGGTGCTTTTTATTCAACATAAGTAGGGTGTGATGCCTCCAATATTAAAGCTCAGTATTACGTACCTGTGGTCAGACAGTTACCTCCATACTCATGCAAACCCAGTCATCATTGTATGGTTAAATTACAGCCTGTTTTCTCATGGTTGATCACTAAGCAATAAAGGCAACATTCCCTCTCACCATTGATTCTATATTCCATTTCAGTTGTCACAACTACAAAGTACAATGGGTCAGATAATGAATAATGAAACTACAAAGTGTATTTACTAGCACTGATGGGACTGTGGGCTAATAAATATGTGAAATTCTCACAACAGCCCACATTTTAAAAAATGACAAAAATGCTTACTTAAATGGTAGAATGTTTTATTGTATTTTCTAATTTAAATATCTACCTAAATTAGACATGTTCCTTTGGAAAATATCTACCTAAATTAGTGACATGTTCCTTTGGAAAATAATTTTCAGTATTTTCATTAGATTTGATACAAATTGGACTTTGACTTAAAAGTGTTAGGAACAAAGCTCCTAGCTGAAAATCAGATTTGGCAGGAATGTTTGTGAATACGATGAACAGGAAAAATGTCAGAACCAAGCCATAGTACCATTTAGCATTCTGTTTTTGAGCGTCACTGGTTGCTTTCAGTGACTGTGAGGGAATCACACAATAAGTTCATGTGTCCTAATTATAATATAACTTGGCAAGAGTGGTACTTTTCCTGAATTGACCTTGGAATTTCCTTTATTAGAACTGTTGTAATTCTTTTTCAGGGTGAGTTGTCTGCTTATTTCTGCAGATTGACCATTATATTTCTTCAGACTGAACCCAAAACTTTTAGGTATATTGCTAAAGAAAGATTACAAATTAGGTCTCTTTTCAAATTAATGACAATTGAATGTGGAAGAGCTGACTTCAGTTCTAGAAGTTATTTGAAATTAGGTTTACTTTTCAAAATGAATGTTACTCAGTAAATCATACTGAGTATACTTCTCCCCTAAAAGAATCCAGGGAATTACAAAGCATACCCTACTGAAAAGTTATTACTGCATGTTTATAGTCTGATTTGTAATTTGAATGGAAAAAATTGGAATCCATTGGTCTTTCCGATCATTACTATTTCATGGGTATGGATGTGGCACCTGTCTCAGCCCTTCCTGCTGGCTTATTTGCTCTCATTTCATCTTTCTCTTGAAAACGATAGTGTATTATACTTTTCTGTGCTGTTTTGTGTCCTTCTGAAAATTCTTTCCTTCTTGTGCTCCTACTTGACCATAGTACTCTGTCCTTATTCCTCAGTCACTTTTAGTTTTACAGATACCAATGTAGACAAAGTCCCTTTGCCATGCTGGCATTCTGTCCTAGTAGGGTACAGTATTATCATAGTCTAACCAATTCAGTTGTCTTTATTGCTTATCAGGGACAGTTGTTTCAGAAATTTCAAGGTAACCTTGAAGTTTTTTTTTTCTGAACTTGGTTTCTCTGTTTAGTAAGTACTGACCTGTTCTTCCTCTGTAGCCTTAATGCATATTTCACTGTTGTCTTTTTTGTTTGTTTGTTTTAAAGGAGTGAGGGGAACTAGCCAAATAACATTCCCGCTGTGCTTCACTTCTAGTTCATATGTCATATAGTTTCTAATTTTTCCTTTCTTTTAAATAAACTTGTGTTTCCCACATTATTTTAACTTAGTATAACATTTTATTACATGAAAATACCTAGATCAGATTTGTGTGTATTTCCATTTGGTACTTACCTATTGTACAAATTATTGATTTTTCTAGGGGTAGCTTGTTGGAGTTTTAAAAGCTTTGTTATTAAGTCAGTTTGAGGAAATTATCTTCAAATCCTTGAGAAGTAAATTACCTTAAATTCTGTGAGAAAGTAAAATACATGCAATTTAGTCTCCTCTTTGGAGTCCACAATGTCTTAATATGACCTAAAGTTACGAACAGTTGGTTTTATTTGCATGGTTAATTTTCCACATTATTTGGTGGGGACATACTGTTCAAAATTGCCATGATAATCTGTCAGTTTCCATCTTCCCTGTTCTACATTAAACTTAAAACTGGAGGAATTGTGTCATGGCACCTTAATGGGAAAATAATTCTGATAATACATTTATTACAATGTAAGAATTAGAAATATGATAGTAGGAACAAATGAGAATATCTCTTAAGCATGAAAATTAAAGGTATATCAAGTTTATTTGTGTGTGTTATCTCATTGTGTCTTTATTTTTTGTTCCTGTGGTAGATGCACCAGCAAGGAATACTGAAGACTGATGATCTCATAACAAGGTTCTTTCGTCTGTGTACTGAAATGTGTGTTGAAATCAGTTACCGTGCTCAGGCTGAGCAGCAGCACAATCCTGCTGCTAATCCCACCATGATCCGAGCCAAGTGCTATCACAACCTGGATGCCTTTGTTCGACTCATTGCACTGCTCGTGAAACACTCAGGGGAGGCCACCAACACTGTCACAAAGATTAATCTGCTGAACAAGGTCTGAAATCCTTTCTTGCCTTAGTCTTCGTCTACATCAGTGGGATTTTTTTTTTTTTTTTTTTTTTTAAAGAGTCTCACTCTGTCACCCAGACTGGAGTGCCTCCCAAGTAGCTGGGAATACAGGCATGAGCCACGATGCCTGGAGCTTTTCTATTTTTAGTAGAGACAGGGTCTTACCATGTTGCCCAAGCGGGTCTCAAACTCTTGGCCTCGAGTGATCCACCTGCCTTGGCTTCCCAGAGTGCTAGGATTATGGGCATGAACCACCATGCCCGGCCACATCAGTGGTTTCTTTTTTTCTTTTTTTTTGAGACGGAGTCTCACTCTGTCGCCCAGGCTGGAGTGCAGTGGTGCGATCTTGGCTTACTGCAAACTCTGCCTCCTAGATTTGTATCTACCTCCTCTCTACACCATTCTCCTGCCTCAGCCTCGTGAGTAGCTGAGACTACAGGCACTCACCACCACGCCCGGCTAATTTTTTTGTATTTTTTGTTTTGTTTGTTTTATGTTTTTTGAGACGGAGTCTCATTCTGTCACCCAGGTTGCAGTGCAGTGGTGCAATCTCAGCTCACTGCAAACTCTGCCTCCCAGGTTCACACCATTCTCCTGCCTCAGCCTCCCGTGCAGCTGGGATTACAGGCGTCCACCACTGTGCCCTGCTAATTTTCTGTATTTTTAGTAGAGACGGGGTTTCACCGTGTTAGCCAGGATGATCTTGATCTCCCGACCTCGTGATCCGCCAGCCTCGGCCTCCCAAAGTGCTGGGATTACAGGCGTGAACCACCGAGCCAGGTCACATCAGTGGTTCTTAACCCTATTTGAGTCCCTCAAGTGATCTGCCTGCCTCAGCTTCTCAAAGTGCTGGGATTACAGGCATGAGCCACCATGCCTGGCCACATCAGTGGTTCTTAACCCTATTGAGGCCAACCCTTCCCCAAAACATTTTGTTAACGCCTCTTTTCTGTCCTGAAATTAAATTTGTAGATAATATGTAAACATATCCTCTCTGTCTTAGAAACAGAATATAGTGCCTTAATAGAAACACAAAAAGAGATCATAATGTATTTCAGTATGTTAATGCTTGGTAGTGACTACAGTTTGAATTTGCCCCATACACAGAATTACTGTGAGTGGGTGGCTAGAAGTGCCCCCTGCTGATAGATTGGCAACTCAAGTACGTGAGTGACATTAGCCATTGGCTTATTTACACAGTGGAGTTCTTGGAAATCTGAATATTAAAGCAGTGCAAAAATACGTGTAAAAATGGACTTTGATTTTGGATTTGGGAAATTAGAGATGTGTTCTTCAAGCCCCTCACTGTTCAGTGGGCAAGTCAAGTGGAATGAGATCTCTGCAGCCTAACAGCTTTCCTGGCCCCTGCCTACTAAATGCCAAGATAAGTGTAAATCATTGCCACATGTCAACTTCATGTCAGACCAGACAAATTAGATTGTTATATTGTGTTCAACATGGTGAAATGTAAGGGGGCCTTGCTGATTTCTAGAGCTGAAGAAAAACCATTGGGCGTTTGTAGAGAGTATTCAGGTGTGGTCCAAGGATGTTGAAATTCAAAGAAACATACAAAACACTGAAGGTGGAGTCAGACCAATTTATGGCCCCTTCGGTTGCCAGCATGTAATTTTGTATTCAAATTGTATATATGCTTTCTTTTAATGTTGGGTTTAAGAATGCAGAGTTTAAAAAGCATGACATCAAAGTGGTGAGTGAATTATCCGAATGATTTACAAGCTCTAATTTGTGTTTTATATAGGTCCTTGGTATAGTAGTGGGAGTTCTCCTTCAGGATCATGATGTTCGTCAGAGTGAATTTCAGCAGCTTCCCTACCATCGAATTTTTATCATGCTTCTCTTGGAACTCAATGCACCTGAGCATGTGTTGGAAACCATTAATTTCCAGACACTTACAGCTTTCTGGTGAGAATTGCGTTTGAAATTTTGTGTTAAGGTTTGCTGGATTAATGTAGTAAAATTTGGGGAGTAGAACCCTTGAGCATTTTGAGCCTACATTCATGTGCTGTTCACTGTATTTAAGTTGGACTGTGCTTCTGACTAAGGTTTTTCTTCTTTCAGCAATACATTCCACATCTTGAGGCCTACCAAAGCTCCTGGCTTTGTATATGCCTGGCTTGAACTGATTTCTCATCGGATATTTATTGCAAGAATGCTGGCACATACGCCACAGCAGAAGGTGTGGCTGCAGTTTATCTCCTGTAGATGAAGACTATGACTACCTGGGCTTATTTATTAGCATTGCCTATGGATTTTTGTTAGTCATTTAGTCGTAATTGTACTTCTTCCAAACTTAGTTGGGAATTCTATTTAGTGTTCACTCAAGTCAAGTACTTGACTGCCTCTGCCTGAAAGCCATTCTTCAGTGATTAGGTGTTGCTGCTTCAAGGTTGTGGGCCCCCTGTGTCAGTCTCTCAAGGTTTTTAAAATTGTTTTTTCCTTTCTTTTAAAATGTTTTGCTTCTTTATACACAGGAATGATTTATTTTACATATTTGTCAGTTAAGGGGTTTTTTGGGGTGGTAGGGGTGTTGTTTTTAAAGTTGAAATCCATGTGTGCCCTCATAAATATCTGAATAAATCTCTGGGTAATAGGGCTCTGGAGCTTGTTGATTTTAGACTCTCACTTTAAATGTGGAAGACTCTCAAACTAAGGTTGAGGACTACTGGGCTATGTTATTTTGAAGGATTATGATCCAGTTCTATTTAAAAGTTCTTTATCTAATTGGTAATACAACACAGTTAACATGAGAAGTTCTTTTCCTCCCATCTTGGAATTAAATTGGCAAATGAGTACTGCAGAAAGTACCATTTTTTGGCCCCTCAGAGCAGAAGAAACGTGACTGCTATGTAATGGAGTGAACTTGACAAAGAAGGTGAAATAGCTCTTAAATGAAGTTGGTTTTGTTTGGTGGAGAAGGGTATTCTAGGAGACAGAAACACAACATATTAAATACAATTATCCAGGAATTAATTGAACATAATTGGTATAGTTGGGGGAGGGTGAGCAGGCCGACTTTGGCTGAAAATAGAGAATTCATGTTGTGGACTCAACAAGGTTATTTGCAAAGAGTTGAGTTGAAAGAGGGAAAAGAAATGGCCGAGACTTAATAAGGAATTAAGAAAACACATTTCTAGTTGTCAGTTTCTACAGTTGACTGTTTTGTGTTCTATCAGAAGTTTCCTCTTTAAATTTTTAAATTTTGCTGCAGGCACACAGGAGGGACCATTATGTCTTGAAATCTCTGGAGCCAGTTTGTTTCAAATATTATTTCCCACTATCTCTGTAATAACTTGGTCCTTTTTAATCTTTTTAATGCCAATCTTTTTTCTTTTCTTTTTTTTTTGAGACGGAGTTTTGCTCTTGTTGTCCAGGCTGGAGTGCAGTGCCACGACCTCGGCTCACTGCAACCTCTGCCTCCCAGGTTGAAGTAATTCTCATGCCTTAGCCTCTGGAGTAGCTGGGATTACAGGTGACCAGCACCACGCCTGGCTAATTTTTTGTATTTTTAGTAGAGACAGGGTTTCAACATGTTGGCCAGGCTGGTCGCAAACTCCTGACTTCAGGTGATCCAGCGGCACTCAGCCTCCCAGAATGCTGGGATTACAGGCGTGAGCCATTGTGCCTGGCCTTTAATGCTGATCTTTTTTTTTTTTTTTTTT